GTTTGGCGCTTTATATTTTATTGTCGCTATCCAGTTTGTTGCCGCGGTTGTGTTATTCTTTTGGGCGCCCATGGACCTGGAGAGTGGGATTATTCTTCTTGCTCTGGCATTCTCCTTCAACGCTGCGATGGTGTGGAATTGGGCCCCTAATCCCGGGTTTGTTCGGGACTCCGTGGAATTGAGCTGTGAAGAGGACCGGTCCCTTTTTCACTGGTGCCGCACCTGTCGGCTGTGGCAGCCACTGCGAGCCAAACACTGTGACCGCTGTGAAAGGTGTGTGCGAAAGTACGACCATCATTGTTTTTGGATAGGTGGATGTGTTGGGGAGGCGAACCACCCACGTTTCTTTTTTCTTCTTACAGTTGCAGTGGCTTATCTCGTGTGTTTGTGGCCCAAGTTTTTAAGGTGCTTTAATTTTTTTGATGCCGCCACACTGGACAGCGCCTTGCTTCGCAATGTAGTCCCATTTGTGCTCCTTGTTGTGTGTAGCGTGATGTTCCTTTTGGTTTTTTTGCTGTGGGTGATGCATGTTGTGCTCATCGCCAGGAACCAGACCACATGGGAGTTTGCTAGTTCTCACCGCATCACGTATCTTCACTCTCGACGAGACAATCCATTTGATCGTGGGGTTTTTTTGAATGTTTTGTTTCTTTTTCGCCCCGGACCCATCGATTGGCACCTCGTCATGAGGCGCGATGACGCCGACCTTGTGTGATCACGTTCCACCCCCCTTCCTCTCTTTTTTTTTTTTTACACAAGTGATGCTTCTGGAATGCACGTTGCCTGTTTTTGTCTTGCGGCTGGTGTCGGCATGAGTAGCGCATTTGTTCTACTCCTACCGAATTTTCTCTTTTCCTCTTCATGGTCTTTCACGGCCCATTACGAAAGAAACGCCCTTTGACCACCTCAATATATAAATATTTCTACTGTTGACTGCAGCAATTTCTTTTTTTCTGCCAATTATTTTGGGCTTTTTGTTGTTGCAGTTGCAGTTGCAGTTGATCACTGCAGAGAAGCGTGGCCGTTCCTGCCCCCACGGCGCCAACAAACACCGAAACAACTCCCGCTAGAAGGCAGAAAAGGAGCGTGCCGACGGAGGGGAGGAAGAAGTCAAGAAAAAAAAAGGATAAGAGAGAGAGAGAGAGAAAGAGAACAAAAAAGGGTTGTTTCACTCATGCCGGCGGAAACTGAAGGGAAGAAGGGCAAGAAGCGGGGGAAGAAGGTCCTTGACCCGATTGCCCTCGAACGTGCCCGCATTGAGGAGGCGGAGAAGCAAAGGCGGGAGGAAGCCATGCTACTCGCCCGGCTACGGGAGCTGAAGGAGGAGGAGGAGGCCATGACACTGAAGGCCTCCAATACCGTGGAGGCAAGATGGATGGTTTTCCTGCGGGAGTGCAAACAGAAGGAACTTATCGCCGAGATTGAAATTGTCCGGCGCGCGTTTGAATCGGCCATTGACCGGAAGAATGCCGTAATTGAGATGCTCTTCAACGACCTTGAAGAGGTGGAGGAACAGCACCGTCTCGTGTTCCATTCCAACATGACGACAGTGGACGCTCTCATTGAAATGCAGACGAGGCGCATGGCGGATTTGGAGGCCGAGTTTGAGGCAGACCTTCTCGAGATGAAGGCAGACTACGAGAAGGAGATGCTGGAACTGGTCCGCAAGCACGAGCACGAGGTAGCGGATCTCAAGCTTATTCTTGACAACATGGCCTCGGAAGCGGATCTGCTCGAGAAGAAGCTGCAGGAAGAAACATCCGAGGCACGTGATACAGCACTAGAAAAAATGGAGGGGGAGCGAAAACAAATGCAGAATGATCTTGTTAAAATTAGTGAATCCATTAGAGTGGAGTTGGATGCACGTTATAAGGAGTTTATGACAACGGCACAAGTGAACATGAAGGATTACATGGACAAATCTAAAGAGGATGCAGAGACGACAGAGCGTATTGCCTCGCAGTTGAAACGTATTGAGAAGCTTCAGGAAAGTGTGACTTCATGGCGAACCAATCTGGCTCGCAATGCGAGAGAATGGGAAGAGAAGAACAACGCCATTCAGCAGGAGCGGGATGCCACCATTCGACACCTCAAGGCCCTCAAGTCCAAGATGGAAAGTTGGCGTAGCAAGGAAGCCTCTCGACTCGCTGAATTTATCAAAAATGCAAAGGATTGTGAATATCAACTGCGTGACACGGTGCGCAGAGCTGAAAAAATTTTGTGTCTGGTCGAGCTTGGCAAACCATTGGAGACAGAGCGTGAACAGGTGTTGTCGTTTGAGTCCAACATTGCCACCAGTGAAATTGAGCAGGAGGTTAAGCGGTTGATGGCGAACTCAGACGCCGCGGAAGCGCAGGACGAGTCGGCAGCACCTGATGGAGCGGCGTTCTCAGAGGAGTGGCGGTTGCTGGAAAGATTTTGGACGAAACACAACAAGGTGGTGCTTGATAATGCCGCCCTCTCACAGGAGAAGTACCATCTGGAGGAGGAGAACAAGAAGCTGCAGGTGCTACTTAAGCAGTACCTTGAGGAACTTAGTGTTAGCGATGCCGTGATGCAGGGGCCCAACACACTTTTGCTCATGAGTCGTGCTCCGAACGTGGTGGAGGCAGCAAAACGAGCGAAACGTGGG